CTAAAGGATTCTATGATTCTAAAGAGAACTAAGCCTTAGTCCAAATGCTTGTCTGTAAAACAATAAATATTGAATCCGTACATAAAAGGTACTTCATTTAAGAGCTCCTTCAAACAAGGGGATTGCTTTCTGCATGTAAGCTGTGTGTTAAATGACTTATTTTGAGGAAAAGTATGGAACAGACCAACAAAGTATTAAGCCTTTGTGTGTGATGGAGGTATATGAGTGTGGGTGATTTCTTTTGGTGTCTCAGACCATTGGTGAGCTCTGGGATTCTGTGAAGGTCTTTTCTGTATTGGACTAAAATGAAGGTAGAAGAAAATGGTATTCTTGAGTCTGATAGCTTACAAATAACAGAGGCCTTTTGAGTCTGCTTCTTGGCTGAAAAACCTTTAGAAAATACAATGGGAAGGGATGTCAGGAGAACACATTTGCTCTTTCTGGCCTCAGCCTTAAAAACTATGCCAGAGCTATTCCTGAGAGATGTTTGTCTGACCTGAAAACCAACGCTGGTGGAGATTGCCTCTCTGTCCCAAGCAGTTCGTTGTAGTGCTTTTCTGTATCTAATGTTTTTCCTCATCTACTTTGCTGCAACTCAGATTTGTTACTGGGGACTCGGGTTCTGAGGAGGCGTGAAAAGCATTTTGGTACCTCTCTCTTTGCAGCTTCCTGGTATGTAATAGTACTAGGAGTTACTCCCCTCAGCCTTCACCTCCACTAGACCGAGGAATCCTGTTATTGCCCTCTTTTTATGTCCTATTTGCCTGACTTCTGATCATTTCCATTACTTCTGTTTGATCCATATCTTTCCTGAATTTCAGTGCTGAAAGTTGGACTGAGATGAGCCTTATTTGCACCATTCCTTGTTCTGAGCTGCCACTGAGGTCCTTTGGTCTCTCCACACACATCAGCTAGGTCAAACAGAGGGGTCTACTTTCTGGGAGAGGAGCCTGAAAGCCAGGTGCTGTGGTGTTCAGCTTGGTAGTGCTGGAGTCTCTTGAGGTGTAACCTCTAACCACAATACCAAAAGGATTAAAAAAAATCATTTAGTGCTGAGAGTTAACAAGCAGATATGGCCAGCAACAGTGCTTATAAAATGCCTGTGGAACAAACCTTTTAGAAACGTCTGTTAGTAGAAACTAATTGAATACTATGTAGACTGGAATATATAAAGCAGGACGCAGCCAGGAATTAATGAGAGAGAGAATGAATTGGCATGTGAATCCCCTCATCTGTTTTCCTTCCCAAAATAGCCTGTTTCTAGGGCCAGGAGGAGTAAGGAATAGAATGATGAAACAACTGGACACACAAACACAGTATGAGCATAATTATGTCAAAGAACAATGATGATATCTTTAATTAGCTGTAGAGAGTTGCCACAGCTCCTGATTGTGTAACACAGGAAGCCAAATGGTGAATGGTTTGAGTAAAAGGAGGTGTTCCCATGTGTTTTGGTGTTCAGAGGTTATTGATCACAATCCAATCCTTTTCTGTTTTTAGCAGTGATATTTTTGATGGCTGTGTTTGAAATTCCATGCAAAGCATGAATGCTGGTATTTTTCTGGCCAAATTATGAATTTTGAAGTCTCATCTGGGCCCAAATTCTAGTTTGCTTGTGATGATAGGGATAGGATGAATTTCTTCAGTTGTAGTCCCTGAGAAATGCACAGTAGATGTCCAGTTCCAGTGCTGAAAAGGTGTTTCTCCTATGCAAGAAGAGTATGGCTACATGTACGTGTGGTTGTTCGGGCAAGGCCTAGACCCTGCAGTGACCTTTAGTACCTTTTTGTAGCATTTTGCACCCTAATAACAACATAAGCTCACCCTTGGAACAGCCTGCTGGCCCAGGGAGAAGATCTAGTCCCATAAGTACATTTTTAATCTTTAATCTGTAATCTTTATTCCACCCCATCGGCACAGAAGTGGAAAGGAGATCAATACTAATGATTATTGTAAAAATGGATCATTTCACTAAACCAGCAAATGTAAACAATCTCTATTCTTAAATCCCCTTTGAGGATAAAGAAAGAAAATAAGCAGTAAAAAGCATACACAGATGGATGTTATTCTGATAGTAACATCTTGTATTGAAAATGTTAGAAGGGAAGGAATGCTAATCATGCAAAATTGTAGGCAGCAAGGTCGCGAGGAACGTACTGAACTGTAAAGGTTTTCCATTTGTGGGCTTGCTCAAAACTCTGTGATTTGACTAATGTGTCATCAAATTGTTGTGGCTTGGACCAGCCAGGCTTGTTATCTGTGTGGATGTGATTTTTGCTAGTGTACTGACACTACAGAGAATGTATGTACCAGAAATAATAATTTGTAATTGGAACTACGTTCCTTTGTTTTCTACATGGTTAAGGAAAACGAAGAAGGAACTAGCTTATATAGAAGAGCGCTTAAGATATCAATAGAATGATGTTAGAGTTTAAGCACTCTGTTAAGGACAGCTGTTATTCTTATTTAAAGCTGAAAGTAAATCTTTTTGTTGGATGATAAAGTCAGTATAATTCAGGAGAGCCTGAAATAGGATAATTGTTTAATTGCTGTAATTGCATGCACCTTTTCTGCTGAAATATTGCTGGGATGTCACATGCGTTTTATTTCTTGACCTGATAAGAATGCAATTTTTAAAAAGATCAGGCTTTAAATGTAGAACTGCCATCTGAGATTGTTTTAAAATGGGAGCAGTGAAGGAGTTTTCTTAGAACTGGATTCAGAGCTGTTAGGAAAAGAGCACCGATGATAAATTTGAACCAATTCTTTGGAGCCTTACCAAATTAAAACTCTGAAAGTGCTGGGAAGCTTGCAGTTTTGTCCTTGTCATAGCAGAATGTAGCTTAACATCAGTTACCTGATGTTTTCCATTGTAGTCTTAGTAATTCATCCTTGAGCAAAACAGACTGATACATTTTATCAAAAGGGGAAGAGCCATCTGTGAAGTGGATTTTACGTTTTGTGGATCGACAATTTTTTTCGTCTTTTTTGTCATTAACTTTTTTTTTTTAATTTAATTTCTAGCTCATAAATTTAGACGGAAATTGGAAGAACTGGAGAAAGAGAAAAATTCTTTAAAATTTCAGCTTCCTTCAAGGCATCCTTCAATTAGCAGTTTTTTGAATAGGTTTGTTACCCAGGTTCAAGCAGCGTTGCGCTGGGCTGCTGATCATCGGTAAGTTTGTTGATTCCTTGCTGTGTAAGATGATGCTTCTGTTTTTCTCAAAATGCAGAATACAATTGATGACTGATTCTAACAAAGAATTTTAAGGGCCTTCTGACATATCAATATGGAGCTTGTCTATGAAAATGCCACCTGCCCTTCCCTACGCCCTCCCCCCCTTTTTTTTCTTTCTGCAGTGCTTTCAGAATTGCCCTGAAAAACATTGATCGTGATGAACTGGTGAATTAAATGGAACTTTTCTCACTGGTGTTATGGGATCGAATCCTTCACACTGCAGCTTGAGCATACAACAGCAAGGCAGCTTGAGCAGTGGTTCCCAGTGGAGTTAATTTGGATGCTCCTTTTCAGACAATGAAAAGATATTTAAATATAAAGCAAAACCAGATTCTTTTTTGATATGCATGGATCTTTGGGAGCTTCCTTTTATGCAATGCTTGTTAGGTGGCAGTAATGTGCTTAACAGTGTATAAAGTCACAAAAATATATTCTCAGCCTTCTCTTGAAGGAATAACAACTTCAAAGTTTGGGCGAATATGAGATGTGTTGGATGACCCAAGGGAGGTAGTTAGCTTAGGAAGAGAAAGTTGTCTCTGTTTCTAGGTCTTTCTTCAGCTGTGCTGCTGGTTACTGTTATTAGAAGCAAGAGGATTCTTTGCAGGTATTGGAAGCTATTCTCAAATGCAATAGTACAAATGAAAGAAAAATCCCCTTTTGTTTTCTGGCAGCTTGTACGTATAAAGGCTGTAGTGTGCTAGTCAATACACTTGGGTGTAATTTTTGATATACATGAAAATTAGATAAAATCAGTGCAGATAATAGGATTTTCTTGCAAAATGTGAGAGTTTTAAGGCTATTTTTAGCTTCTATAGTATTTAGTAATGAGGCATGTTGAAAACAAACTGCATTCTCTCTCAGAGCTATTTCCTTCTGCCTTCTGAGGCCCTAAGAAGCTGTTTTATCCTTCTTTAAAGACAAGGCCACAACATTGTGTTTTGGTCATTAAGATATGTTTGCACTATGCATTAATTTGTAATGGTGACTTTGGCTTTAGATGTATTATTGTCTTTGGTGTCATGGAAATTGGGTCACTAAAGCATCCTTGAAATACAGTGTCTATTTTTTCCCCTATATAAAGCATATATAGTATATTTTTATATATAAAATATATAAAAAATACATATATGAAATTGTTCCTGTTCTTCAGATGATTACACCTGTAACTCTTCTCTTTGCACAGGTTTGAATGCAGTGCCATTCTTCAGGGTCAGATGAATGTCCTCTTTTCTGTCTTGTGCACATTCTTTGAGCTTGAGTTTAACTGTTGTTGTGACATCCTTTCTCTTTCTCACTGGATTCTTGTAGCCTTTCACACTGCTTTGTCTGTGGTCTGACTCTTGTTGATGCAGCAAGCATACCCTTTTGTCTTCAATAGAGGGGTTTAAAATTTTTCTATTCCAACAGTATTTTTAGATAGCACAGGGTAGAAAACACGACCCCTGCTTCAGGGAATATTTGTAGGCTTCAGTTTTTATTTTCACTTTGAATTAATTTTTCACACATCATACCCAAGATTTCTTTGTTCAGGTGGAAAGGCAAAAAGATAAGGCTAGCCCCAGAAGACCAGATCACTGCAGTTTTACTATACTTAAGCCAGTCTCATCTTTCTGCAGGTAAAGAACTTTTTCAATGACAAGTGTTCAGGGCAGGTTATTTGTTTAATACATGGGACTGAATTTCATGTCCCAGTTTTGTTTTACTTGATGTAATTATGAGATGAGTTTTTAGGTGAATGCATTCTGTGTTGACACAGGTGATTTGGGGCAGGCAGTAGGAGCTGGGTTTGATTATGTTTAGCTTAGGAACAATGTGTTCATGCAGTCACCCAGGTTTGGTGAGATCAGAGATATTTTTTCATTTGTTTGTTTCCTCAATACCAAGTAGGGTGATGTACATGGGAATTCCAAATGGGTTCTGAGAATAACCTATGTTCGTCATGGAATATTTCCTAAATTTTGACCAGCCAATCAGAAATTTTGATGGCGTACAGCTCTTAATAAAAGAAGGCTTCAGAGCTGCTGGAAAGTGTGGTCGCTTGGAACCACAGTAATCTATATTGATAGTAAGGGACGTACACAGGGATGGCCTAGCATATCATAATATGGGTATCTTTTTGATCTATTTTGTTATTACAGAAATAGTTACACCACCATTATATCTATATTGCTTAAGTATTTATGCTATTTATTTTAGCGTCAGGGTTTTATTTTGCTTTCTCAGTACGTTCTTCATCCAGTAGAGAGTGAAGCATGCCTGTCTTCTGATGGTCCTGCAGAAGAGCCAGGAACCCTTTGTTCGACACACTTGTTAAACAGCTGTGCATGGAGATCATAATGGTGTGATTAATCATGCTTAAAACAGACTTGTGATGCATGTTTTGTATGTGGCATGGATGTCTTTGCTTTGCAAGATTATGCTGGGAAATCATGCTTCAAAAAGGTTCTTTTTCTGAGATGGTATTTTTTTTTTTTTAAACAAGATATTGAAATGAATCTCCATGTTTTATGTAGAAATACATACACTTGTCTCTAGAGATGGACACAAATACAATTGCCCTTGCAAATGTGCATGCCCTTAGGCAGGAGTATGCAAGACAAAATAGGTTTGCATTGTTTGCAGGTGCATTTTGAGAGGCTGATTATAGACTTGACACTTAATGTAATGCACTGATTACCTTGGGGTCCAATCATGCAAAGATTTACAGCTGAGGGTTGTACCAACCACTGTGAGGAATCCCACTGACTGCGATTTTGAAAGAACTCGTTGTGCAAGAGAGAAGTACAATTTGGCATCGTGGAGCAGACACTCCAGATGATCTCTAATGTCGTCTCCAAAAGCTGACAGAAGCTGCAAAAATGGCTTTGGCAAGTTTCTAAACTTATGTCTAAGAGAGATTTTTCTCTGTATTGATAGGAATTACATGCCTTAGTTTTGTCTCTTTCAAGGCAGTGATGGATAAATTTCTGAAATATGGAAAAGCTGGGGGAAGCCTGAAGCTATGCAAATTTTCCTTTTTCCTTCTTCAGCATGTTGTAAAAACAGTGTAAATGTTGGAGATAATAAAGGAAGATATGCCAAGGAAAAAAATCTCTTGTTCTTTAATTGTGTCTGTTTAAGAAGTAGTCATTTTGCTGTTATGACTCTGAAGGCATCATGCAGCATTGCTATCTGTTTAATCTTTTGATACCTTGATACTCGTTGAAAATGCTAATTTTTAGCTTTTGTCATCTTTTTTTCAAAGGGTTAGACATGAAGAAACTCAGCTTTGGCATGAAACCGAACATAAACTTTTGAGATCCACTTACCAGGAGAGGATGCAGGTTTTGACCACAAAACGAAACCAACTTTTTCAAGAAAAGAAATGGTTACAGGTAACAGAACTGAGAAGTTGTCTGTAAGACTCAGTGCTGTTTGGGAAGAAGCTTGTAAGCTGTCACACAGAATTAAATAAATTTATTGTAATAGTGACTTTGCTTTTGTGCAGCAATTAGAGCCTTGGCTGTAGTCCAGTTGATCATATAAGTGATGATTGGAGATGGCAGCCACAGGAGTTGTGTTAATCTCATTATGGAGTAGCAGAACTGGAAGGCTCAGTGGCTTGTGTGCATGCTGTAACTTCCCTCATTATCTTTTAAAGTGTGCTCTTTATGTTCTAATTTGCCACTTTAATATTTCACTGATCTTCGGAAGTTTTTATTTGAAGACCAAGTTTTCTTCTGTTTCTGGTTAGAATTGACTATAAATATGTGATTTACCAGCTTTTGTTCCTGAAAGTTGATTGATGAATTTCATAAGGATGAAGGAGTCTTCATGGAGCAGTCAACATTTTCCAGCAATAACTTTATACTGACACATGATATAACAATGTGGTAATTTGGCAAATGGAATGTTTTTAAGATGGTTTCTGTCCAATTACAAATCTGCAAGCCTTTTAAGCAAAATTTAGCTTTTTCTTTTCACTATCTTTCAAAAATCTCAGTGTAGTAGAATTCTTTGCTCTACTTCCTTTTAAACCCTGGGAATCACACTGGACAATGTGACATCTTAGCTTGTAGGTCTAGCTTTCTTTTTTCTGTGGTCTTGTCTTGAAATCTCATTATTTTTGATGCTCTTCTTCCTTTGGTGGATTCAATGGTATAATCATCTGTGTGCTTGTATACACAGAAGTATCTATTGTAGAACTGTAGAATCTCTTAGGCTGGAAAACGTCTTTAAGATTGAGTCCAACCATTAACCTAACTCTGCCTAGTCTACTGCTAGTAAATAATGTCCCTAAGCACCATATCTACACTGCTTTTAAACATGTCCAGGGATGTCAATTCAAACATTTGTCTTGGCAGCCTGTTCCAGTGCTTGACAACCCTTTCAAGAAATTTTTCCGAATACCCAACCTAAGCCTCCTCTGATGGAACTCAAGGCTGTTTCCTCTTGTCCTATCACTTGTAACTTGGGAGAAGAGACCTTCTATCAGGTAGTTGTAAAGAGCAGTAAGGTTTCCCCTTAGCCTCCCCTTCTTCAGACTAAATAGCCCGATGTCCCTCAGCTGCTCCTCGTAAGACTTGTGATGGAGGACCCTTCACCAGCTTTGTTGTCCTTTGCTGGACCTGCTCCAGCATCTCAATGTCCTTCTTGTAGTGAGGGGCCCAAAAGTGAACACAGCACTTGAGGTGTGGCCTCACCAGTGCTGAGTACAGGGAGACGATCGCTTCCCTAGTCCTGCTGGACACACTATTCCTGATACAAGCCAGGATGCTGTTGGTGTTCTTGGCCACCTGGGCACATTGCTGACTCATATTTAGCCAGCTGTCAGCCTGGTACCCCAAGGTCCCTTTCTGCTGGGCAGCTTTTCAGCTGGTCTTCCTGAGCCTGTAGTGTTGCATGGGCTTGTTGTGGCCCAAGTGCAGGACCTGGTGCTTGGCCTTGTTGAAGCTCATATTGGCCTCAGCCCACTGATCCAGCCTGTGTGTATAACCCAGAAAGAAACAGAGAAAAGCATATTAGATGGCGATTGCAAAACCTTAGTTAAATGAAGAAGTGTCTTTTCTGTCCTAGTCATTGCCTTTGTATTGTTTAGATTTCAGCAAAGTATAAGAGAAAACATGGTGTAGTTCAACATTGTTGGTGTCCAGGAAATTATTTTTGATGATATAGATACCTAGCCAGCCATCTCAAGATATTAAAATGAAGTGTTGTACTTAAGACTCTACACCAACTAATGTTTTTATACTTGCTCCAGGTGAATCTTAATTCCTGTGTAGTTATACAAGGGACAAATAAGCCACATTGTTTTACAGGCATGTGATTTATGCAAACTCTGTCAAAATTGTAATGAAATCAAAGTTTTTGAGAAAGCTGACCTGTGATGTTTGGCGGCTTCCAGCATCTCTTAAGGATAGCTCGTGCCCAAAGTCTCACATGATCCAAAACAACATATTTTTTTAATTATTTTTTATTTTTGTCCTCATCCCTACTTAATTTTTCTTTCCATTCTTCCCTCTCTCCTGTTGGTTCTGCATTTGTCTTCAGGGATTTGAGAGCCTGTGACAATATCTAAAATTTACATATTAGTGTTTCTGCTGCAGTCTGTACCTCTTGGAGAACACCAGCCTGGAAGTGAAGCTGAAGGTTTACAATCAGTACTGATTAGCTGTCATGTTGGAAATCTCAGTTTGAACTCAAATCCATGAAGTAAAACTCCGGCTTGTGTTTGGTGAGCTGAATATCACCTGCTGCTCCATGCTGAGACTTTAAGTCCTTTTTATCTGTCTCTGGAGGCTGACCAGGAGTGCAATAAAGGCTTCTTGGCATTTCTGGAAAAGAATATGGGACCGTTCCAGTTTACTGACTAAAATTTCAATTCTCCCAAGGATACCTGCGAACTATTCCCGAGCAGAACAGCTTTCTCTCTGTGAATGCAGATTGTGTGCTTCTGGCTTCTATTTGTGTTGTAAAAGCATTTCAGTACTCAAAGTGTTTGTAAAACCAAAATCTGTTCATCTCCCTTTCTGCTCCCGTGTAGGTTGCTTATTGCAGCGATTGCAATTACTACGTTTTCACAGAATATGAAGGTCTTTGTATTAAGCAGGGCCTATTAAGATTTTTGGCAGTTTTCCCAAACCAGTAACACAGAGACAGAATTGTCCTTCGTGCACACTAAAAGCCTAATTTGAGACTGAAAGAAACAAAACTGATGGTTTTGGCCTCCTGACCTTTCTGTCCTTGACAAATGCCTGTGGGTTGAAACATGGGCCACTCTGTTCTCTTGCTTCTAAGTCCAAACCCAAAAAAAGGAAGAAAATAATTGATGAATGCAGTGTGTAGCATTAATATAAGTTGAAATTTTTGAGCCAGTCAACCTTTTAACATGCAAGAACTGTTTCTTCTTGTTTTAAGTGATACTCTAGGAGCTTGTTTCAGTGCTGCAAACCTCATAGTGTTTCTTGACAAAATGAGTATTAATGAACTAAACTGTGCTTAAATAACATTCTTTTAATGTTTTCAATGTAAATGTTTCAAAATGAAGCCTTCAAAAAGCAAAGAAGTGCCGAAGTCCATTATCTGTGTATGTTTTATCATAGTATGTATGTTTTATGAGTCTTTAATTATATGAACATGCCTTTTTTTTTTTCTTTTTCTTTTTTTTCCTATTTTTATTTTCCCTTCCTGGATCCCTGCCTCATATGTTGCTGCAGATTGAAAGTGCTTGTTCAGATATTCAGAATATAATTTTATTTTCACTACTAAGTATTCGGCCCCAGAATCCTTTAATTGTATGCCACTCAAAGCCTCTTTTGGATGCAGATTTATTAATTTGTGAATGGGCACTTTTTACAGCATTAATCAACATGGCATCTGAGTGAGTCAAACCCACTTATTTTTACCTCTGTAACGTCTCTTTGGGTGAAGAGGCTTTCTTATTGCCATTTTACAGATAGAGAACAAAGAAGTGAATTGCTATAAAAAGTGATACGGTTGTTTCTAAGTGTCAGGTTTTTAATGCCTAGTTATTTACTTTGAAAAAGTTTTTTTTTTTTTCATTTTTCTTTTTAGCTGGACTGAATATGGGCAGAGCATGGAAAGATGAGCTTTGGCTTCTGTTAGGAGTCTACAGATAGCACTTCAGAGATGCCTTTTTTGGCTGTGTGGAAAATAGTGAATGGTCAGTCTGTGTCTGTGTGTGGAGATAATAGTTGAAGTGGCTTGCAGAGTTTCACAGAGACTGGAAGAAATAGAGGAATAGAATTAAATTCTCTGGTATGGCATTCAACTACTTTGATAGCAAGTAATTCTCCGTTGGTTTTTTTTTTTTTTTTTTTTGTGTTTGGTTTTTTTAAACTAATTTTTCAAATTCTGGAAGAAATGAGCCAAGGACCATATACTAAATAATTATATTAACACAGCAGCCCAGACTCCTTCATGAAGCGTTCCTTCCTTGCGTGTAAGCTATCTGTTGACTTGCTCTTCAAGAAACATCTGTACTGTAATGGATGGAGTTTGAACTTCTGGCAAGACAAGCACAACTGAGGGTGAAGCTCTGGTCATTTTAAGTCGAGGGAGAGAACTTGTGCTTTTAATTAAAATTAAATAGTAGTAATCAAAGGACTGGCCAGACAGTCAATGATTCACCACTTTCATCCTGTGCCTGATGTTGGATTGGGAGCCTAGACGAGCCATTGAAGGGATATTCCACAGAAGGATAGTTAGTCACTTCAGCTTCCAGTCTGTTGCAAGATTCTGTTTTCATAGTTGAACTGAGATATTAGGATTTTTTTTTTTTAAAGCTTTTAACTTGGGACATGTCCTATGTATTTTAAAGGTAAAAGGTGTTGGAAGAGGAACCTGAAATTTGGTGTTGAAATGGAGATGGGTAGTTTCAGACTGTGGAAGCACTAGAGTTTCTAAGCAGATGCCACATTTTTTGTGTGTCAACAAAAGAATGTCTTCTCATTTGAAGTTGTGCTAAATTACTCAACCTTAATTCATGCTACTTCTGAGACTTGTACTGCATTTTTCTAGGGACAGAGGAGTTTCTTTAGCAAGATTCATAGTAAATTTAGGTTTCTGTTCTATGCAGAAGGAAATTGAAGACCTCCGAGCAAGACTAGCCATATTAGAAGCAAAAGACCAACAATTAAGAAGAGAAATTGAAGAACAAGATAATCTTATTCAGTCACAGGACTGTGAACTGACTGCTTTACTTGGCTGCATTTCTTTGAGAGAGCTACAGGAAATAAGCAAGGCTGTGGATGACACTTTAACATCCTCCTACCAAATTCCTTTCAGTCTGGATCTTCCAGGGACACTAAAGAGGTATTTAAGTCTCAATATGTTGTCAGTGATGTAGAGTCTTATATCTTCTCCAGTGTACTGTTGAATTGGATGTCATTTGTCTTCATAGTTGTGCCTGCTAATTAGCTGGATTCAGACCCTTTAAAATTTTCTAAGAACCAATGCTGAAGTTCTAATATTAATATACTTAGGAAAGAAGACAGTAGTTATTTAAAGGTCTTACACCTAATACTTTTTTATGGTAGAGAACCACCTACATAAAATACATGTATCCATCAACTGTTCATACCTATCAACAGTTTAAAATATTTCTTGTTAACTGGTGAAGTTTTATCCCTGGCTTGGTAATGCAGTAATAACAAGATATTTCTCACAGCCTGAAACTGTGTACTTGGCACAATCCAGATAAATACTAGAAATGCTTCTTGCTTCAGTGAACTTCCAATCATGATAAAGTCCAGTGTGGTGAGTGTTAGGCTCAGACAATGAACTTGAGGTAGTGAGGGAATGGATACAGCATGAAGACTTTGGGGACACCTACAGTTAAATGCATAGCATATGGTTCCTTTAAATGGAAAAGCAGCAACTCTTGGTAACCTTTTGGAAGTAACCTCATCTTTATTTACAAAAGCAATAGAAGTGCTCAGGGCCTAAATTGTACTGGCAATCAATGGGACGTTGGTGATGGAACTTTGAAAGTGTTGCAGCTGCTGTATTACCAGGATAAAATAAAATTCCTGTTTATCTTAACTTGCATTTCTTCCAGATAAGCAATAACTATATTGGTTGCAGTTTTTTTTCCCCCTTCATGTTTATTGGATTTAGTTGGCTTATATTAAAATTCATGAGAAATTGCTGCTCATGTGTGCTAATTTATACACAATTTTTTTAAAGTCAGCAGAACATTTTGTAGAGGACATATTCCTCTCTTTTGGGGTTTGTTTAACAATTTAAATTAGGTTATGGGAAATAGTTTCTTGAATTAAGTTTAGTTTGTTTTAATAGTGTCTTATACCTGTGTTTCCAAGATTGAGGAATTAAAGGTCTCAAGCACTCTGTCTGAGAACCTGTACTATTATTTGAGCTTTCTCTTAGTTTTGGATTTGCTTACGAAAACTCAGTGATGTTTGTTTGTTTTTTTCTCCTCATATTGCTGGTGCAACAGTTGGGTTGCACTTAACCCTTTAGGAACTTATTTAAAGATGAATTAAATTAGTACAGCTTCAGGAGGAACTTGCTCTGCGTTCTTTAGATACTAGCACCATGAATAACACAATCACTTCAGGAGAAGCAAATTCATCACTTGAAGCAGGCTCAGAACTTCAGTGACAATTTAGAATCAATTTCTTTTCTTTCCGTTAATTTTTAAAAGATGCCTTGAATGGAACTATTTTCTTTTTGGCTTTGTTTGTTGATCAACTTTGTCTCACCAGGGCAAATGATCAGATGCTTCTGCTCTCTTTACCACAGCTGAATTTCCCCTATTGCAAGTGGAGACAGAAATGCTAGTTTGGGCTACACGAGTGAGCACGCTTAGGCATGCGTCTGTGACAGTTGTTGGGAGCAGTATAAATCTCCTATGTCAGGTTATAGTTGAGTGCTATTGTCAAACCCTAAACTGAACAAAGTGATGGGTGTCTTCCTTCTAAAGCTGTGCAGTCCATCATACCTCATGTACAGTGATTTTATGTCTTTGTCCAGCCATGATCTGTTCTTTCTTTCTGTAAGATGAGGAAGTGACAAGCAGATAAGACATCCTGTGTGGGTTTACTTCTTGTGTGCCTATGGGCAGCCCCTACGTTGTCATTCAATTATGGAACAATTTAGGAGGTCATCTTGTCAAACTCCTGCTCAAAGCAGGACCACAATTTCCAAGTGAGATCAGGTTGCCCAGGGCCTCATCTGTCTGAGTTTTGCATATCTCCAAGGATGGAGATCTTGCAGACTTGCTAGGCATCCTACATTTCACCATCCTTGCTCTGAACTCTTTGTCTCATATCTAGGCAGAATTTTCATTGCTGCAGCTTGCATTGACTTATCCTAAATCAGTACTTCTTCTGAAAGGAAATTGTGTATAAGGCAACAGGTTAAAATACTTGTTGAAGCTAGTTCAGCATATTCATTTTAAATTCCAAAGTCTTGGGTTATTTAATATGAAAGATATTTTTCTGTAAATGTACATTTTACTTTATGAGCCATTGCAGAGAAAAAAGTCTTCTAAAGTTAGGGCTATCTGTGTGAGAAATAAAGCCATTACTCATGCACATGTACTAAAGATCAGTGATTATGCAGAAAGTCGTTCAGTATTGATGGGCTTTAAATTACAAGCCTCTGGTTATTGGATTGCAAGATACTGTGTATTTATTCTAAGTGCATTGTGCTAGTCAGTAAAGTACTGCTATAAATGCTTTTGCAGAATTATTTGTTGGGTGTGTGAATTGCATTCAGCACTAGAATAACACACGACTGAGAAACATCTCTTAAGACAATCTGTGCTATAATGAATCATATTGAGTGGCTTGCGGCTCACTATAAAATACAAATTATTTTTCTTTTCTTCACCTAAATGCTATTAAATAGCAACTTATTAAAGCAAATTTCAGGGGATGCCAGTGAACATTTTAAATGAAGAATAATTGCCCAGACAGAAGTGAGCAGGAGCAAGAGAACAAGTCGCCGTAACGTTGGGCTGAGCATTGTATCTAGGCTTATTTTTCTTGTCAAATATTGTTAGTTTTGGGAAGATTAATAATCCTTTGTTTTGTCTTGTTTATTTTTGGTATGAGGTGGCCTTTCTGAAATCAAAAAGCTTTTGTCAGTAACTGTAGCATGCTTTGAGGTTGAAGAATTGAGAAATGTTAGACATATTACCCTGAGCCCTTTCTTGCGGGCTGTTGGAAGCAGAGGTTAAAACCTGGCTGGTTAATGTACAAACAAATACATCAGCTTGTGTTTTGACAGGGATTCTCATCGAGGCTGAGACCACAGAATGTGGTCATTTTGCTCACCCAGACATGCCTAATTGCTCTTGGTAAACTGAAGGGTGTAATCATTATTATAAAATGAGGAAATTGCAGTGCAAAAGCTCAGTGTGTGTGTGTGTGGAGATGTGTTTAAAAGGTGGGAGCAGCTGGTGGTGGGAGCTCCATGACACGTGTTGGTGTTTTAACTAAAGATACTGTACTGAAATCAGAGGAAAATAGATCTGAGTGTTTCAGTGCGAAGTACTTTCTCCTGGAGATGGCAAAAGGTAACAAAATATAAAATTTCCCTATTCTCTCTGAAGAGGACACCATTTCAGAAATGTTTTAAACTAGTGTAACTTGAATCTTCTCATTATAAAATAAGGCCATGCTAGTTGTTTGACTTACTGTCTCCAGTACCTGTTGTTTTCTTTTTTAAATTTCATTTCACAGTGAAAACCAGGGAAGCTTGTTATAATTCTGTTCACATTTAGTTTCTCTTAGCATTTTTTTTTTTTGTTTTATCCATATCTACAGATGCATGCGACTGTACAGCCTGTCATCTGTAAAATAAACAGCACAGTTCCATCTAGACTACTGTCTGGGCACTGAATTCTGGTTGAAAGGAATTCAATTAAATATCTTTCAAAGTATTTGAATACTTTCCCTCTTCTTCCACCCTTCCCATGGAACAATTTTTAATTAGTAGGAATTTGTTCCCCAGTGGGCATGGGGGATTTTTTGAAGATGGGGAAATTCTCTATTCTCTGTATTATTAACTATAGTACCGTCATGGCCACTGGTGCAAGGAACTGAACTTGAAGTTTTATGCAACCAGTTCACTCAGCTTTAGTGAGGCATGGAGCTTATCTGACAAAGATTATTTCAAAGTGAAATACAAATGCTCCAGGGGCTTAAAAGCCTTATTAGTTGGAGTATACTCAAAGCTTTCAGCAACTTCAGTTGAGGCCAAAGCCTGAAAAGGTCAAGGAAGGTGGGATATTTTAGATGAGTTGGTTTACTTGGGAAGAGTTAAAGAAAAAGACTTGTACATAGTTTCATGTATTAACTTATGGATAGTGCCATTCAGAGTGGGCTGTCATATACTGTCATTAGAAGAGACTGCTTTGTACATGTTTTGATGTTCTTCAAAGTGTGCCTACATGAATTAACAGTTGGAAAGCTACGTGAGTTTACTGAATAAGTCTGAATGCAGCCATGTTTATTCACATCAGCCTTTCAATAAAAATCTTAGCTTTAAAGAATTGTGTCTAGACTAAGTAAAACAAATTGCACCCTATCCTTTCAGAAAGATATACGTTGATTGCTAGATAATAAGCAGTCTACTCAGGTAAGTCCTTTTTAAATGTGTGATTTGAGATTTTCTTTGGCTATTTCTGTGCAAATGCATACATGTCAAAAATATCCCCTGGGAATAGAAGGGTAGCACAAAAGCAAAGAGCAGAGAGATTAAATGGCTTTACAGCATCAAAAAGTTTCTATGATAGTGCACAGGCTGCAAATTTTTCTAACTGTTTGCTGAGCCCGTGTGTGGGACAGCAGAGAACTGAATTGTATGGAGTACCTACAGATATGAAATCTTTACTTCTGCCTTTATTTCTTGGGTTTTTGGAGCTTTTTTGTTCCCTGCACTTTTTCCTAATATCATAACCTTGGTGCTTAATTACAAAAAGAAAGTGATGTTGGTTGGTGGGTAGGTTGGAGGCAAAATAACCTAAACTTTAAAAAAAGAACTTCCTTAATATTTTTCAGGAGAGACTTCTGTGCTGTGTTATGAGTCAGACCGTGAAGACACTGATGTTTTTAATAAATCTCTAAGCACATTGCATTATTATGTAACTTCTGTCCTCATTTGCTGCTGAGGAGATTTTAGTGGGTCCTTGGACTTGATATACATGGAGTCATTTTCAGCAAATCACTGTTGCTTTCGCCTTCTCATGAAACTTATTTACTTCTGAGTCTTTCACTTGATGGGTGATTTTCACACAGCGCATCATTGTGCCTCTGCCCTAGGAGAATGTCAGCAGTCCCTTGGTG